GCTCTTCCAGTGTTTCAGTGTTTTGTCTCTCTACTTCAGGTTTGTGGATTTCTGTCTCCATCTTTGTCTTCTCTTCTTTATCCAAAAAAAAGCTGCTTTCTTTTTTCATTTTGTCTTCTCTTTCCCACTCTGCAGGAAATGTTTAAAGATTATTTCAAATGTTTTAGTTTTAAAATACCTTTAAAATAATATTCTGAAAACAATGCAAGCAAAAGCCACTGACTTTTTAATATGGGTTTGAATGAACAGCATCACTGATTTTAATAGTTGTGACTTGCATAGGATTTTATTTTTCTTTTTCAGCATCACCGACTTCAAGATGGTTCCATGATGTTTGGCTTTTTGGTTGTTTTTTTTGTCAGTTTGTTTGTTTTTTTCCATAAAGGGAACCATTCCTGTGAAGCTCTCAGGCCATAAACATCTTTACACAAGGGTTCTGTGCATCACCATGTGAGCTCAATGACAGTTCCTCTGCAAATACCAAATGCCAGGTTTGCACAGTAATATAGGGACATCAAAGGTGCAAAACAGGAAAAATTTTATAGATAGAACCTGCAAATACTTAATGTGTACAAGAAAAAGGAAGCTTCCCAAATCTTTCTCTATTTGAAATATCTTTCTGTCAAGACAACAGATATGTGTTTGGCCAAAAGTTGAATACAACCACTTGGGCCCTTCAACACACTGCCATTGCCCTTTGAACTCTTTATTGACATTTCTGACATGTTTTCACAAAGTTCCATATTGTCTCTTGTACTTACGATCAAGCTTACAGAAATAACTGCAACAGTTCAGTGAATATATTTAATATATTCTTATTTTTCAATAGCATGTCATTATACCAAGTTAAGTAAGGAGCTACTTTTCTGTACGTAAGGTGAAGAAAATACCAGCTCATACTATAAGACAGGAAGGGAGGTCAGAGTCATCTTATTTAGAGACACAACATAGCAGATTCTTGGCTTGCTTAAGTTGTGCACTGAAGTCGGTGGAGGTATGAGATTTTGCAGTTTCCCTCTGAAAGAACCTACAGATGTTGAGAATTCTTCTGTGTCATCTAGAATGAGTATTTCTGTTCATTAACTATAATCAGTGAAAGAGTATTTCACCATGACAGCATGCAGTCCATCTAAAATACTTTAGAATATTAAGACTTATGAATGTAAGTCATTGAGATCTTGTGAAAACCAGATGAGTAAAAAAGCAGTCTTAAAATATAATTACAGAAACTGACATTCCTCAAATAGTCCTACCAAACGATTCAGATAACAAGTGAAAAGGGAAACTACAATTTCAAATTATAAAAGTGAAGTAGACAGGTACTGAAAAAACAGGCCATATTAAGGAGGGCAGATTTGTTCTACAATAGTAAAATTCTACTGCCTACCTCCATAACATCTAGCGAGTCAGAGATAACATCAGCATTTACCTGTTATGTCATTGTTTTGTAGAACAAAATCTCTCAGGCTTCAGTATTTGTTAGTGGCCAGCACGTTTTGCTGCTGCACACTTAATCACAGCTGAGTACAGGATACAGATGACTCTAAAGCCAGTATTTCTTTTTTATTCTTTTTGCATAATACAGCTGAAAATAATTTTCCACTGTAGTGATCTCTGCAAAATCATTTTGTTGTTCCCACAAGACACTAGCAGCCCTACTTCATTAGTATTCTATGGTGTATTTTGCAGCCTCCAGCTGCCCATATCCTTACCATCATGTAGTTTTTGAACTCTCTCCTCTACAGCCTGCATTTCATGAAAACGTTTCAGTTTCTCTTCCCTTTCCCTGCCTTGGTCTTGTCTTAGGAGGTCTCCTTCCTCTTTCCACTCTTTGTCTTGAGCTCCTTCTTCCTGAAATAAATTGACAGAACACCAAAAATTGATGAGGGAAAATAATCAGGAAAAGAAACAAACAATCAAAATAATATGAGCTTCTATGTCATTCTGAAATCACATTCTTACTGCTAAACATAAAAAGAGCAAGTGAACTAAACCAAGCCAGCTTTGACAACCCAGGAGTTTGGCTCCAAAATCTTACTGCCTTTAACATAGTTCTATGTACCTCAAGCAAAACTAACAATCAACTCTACTCTGTATTACACAATTCAGGAAAGCTGCAGCTCCAATCTCAAAGCAAAATTATCACTGTGTTGGGACAGTTTGTTTGAGAAGTCAAAGTTGTCATTTTCAAAGACTTTAACAGAAGCCCAGACACCACCTTATTCTTTTAACAAGCAAGCACTTAGTTACCCTCTATTCCACAATCTCATCTTCTAACTCAAGTGAGTGGGTTGCAGATTCAGTTTCTCAGTGCCACTTAAAGTTATGGAGTACTAGGTAACAGTGAAAGAGAAAGGTTTAATCTTGGCTGAAAAATTCGGCTAGGGAGCATACATACACATTCAAAAGGAAAGAACCTGCAGAAAATACATTAGTGTCAGCAGTATAAATCATTAGCACAGAAGAGAAGTGACAATGAAGTGAAGAGAAAGCCAGAATAATCCAACATGTGGATGCAATCTTTGCTGCTTGTGCTAATTTTTGAGTGAAATAAGCTTCTAGATTAAAATACACATCTAAGAGAAATAAATGGTTACTAGTTAATAAGCAAAGAAAAGATAACTATTAGCCAAAACAACTTGAAGTATTTCCCCTCCACGTACAAGATTATCAGTATTATATTTAAAAATAACAAAACACCACAACAACTTCATAAAGAGATGGTGGCCAAATATTTCCTAGGATCATAGAATGATTTGGGTTGGAAGGGACTTTAAAGACCACCTAGTTCCAACCCCCCTGCATGGGCAGGGACATCTCCTACTAGACCAGGTTGCTCAAAGCTCCATCCATCCTGGCCTTGAACACCTTCCAGGGATGGAGCATCCCAACTTCTCTGAGCAACCTGTTCCAGTGCCTCACCACCCTCACACTAAAGAATTTCTTCCTAATGTCTAACCTAAATCCGCCCTCTTCCAGTTTTGATCCATTACCAACTGCCCTACTACTACACACGCTTGTAAAAAGCCAGCTTTCCTGTAGCCTCTTCAGGTACTGGAAGGTGGCTACAAGGTCTCCCTGGAGCCTTCTCTTCTCCAGAATGAACAACCCCAGCCTTCTCAGTCTGTCTTCATAGGAGAGATGCTCCAGCTCTCTGATCATCTTTGTGGGCCTTCTCTGGACTCACTCCAACAGCTCTATGTCCTTCCTGTGTTAGGGACTCCAGAACAGGACAGAGTACTTCAGGTGGGGTCTCACCAGAGTGAAGCAGAGGGGAAGAATCACCTCACTCGAGCTGCCAATCATGCTTCTTTTGATGCAGCCCAGGATACAGCTGGTGTGCTGGGTGGGTTGCAGTCATACTTTGCCAGCTCACGTTGAGCTTCTCATCAACCAAACACCCCAAGGTCCTTATCCTCAGGGCTGTTCTCAATCCATTCACTGCCAGCCTGCAATTGTGCTTGGGATTGCCCTGACACACGTGCAGGACCCTGCACTTGGCCTCGTTGAACTTCATGAGGTTGATACCAGCTCACTTCTCAAGCCTGTCAAGATCATAGAATCATAGAATCCTAGGGGTTGGAAGGGACCTCGAAAGATCATCTAGTCCAACCCCCCTGCCAGAGAAGGGTCACCTAGAGTACATCACACAGGAACTCATCCAGGTGGGTTTTGAATGTCTCCAGTGAGGGAGACTCCACAACCTCCCTGGGCAGCCTGTTCCAGTGCTCTGTCGCTCTCACAGTAAAACAATTTTTTCGGATATTCACCTTGAACCTCCTATGCTCCAATTTGCACCCATTACCCCTTGTCTTATCACTGGTCATCACTCTGAATGGCTTCCCTTCCCTCCAGTATGTTGACCACACCATACAGCTTGGTGTTGTTAGCAAACTTGCTGAGGATGCACTTAATTCCACTTTCCATGCCACCAACAAAGATGCTGAACAGCACTGGTCCCAGTAGGACCCTTGAGGAACACCACTCATCACTGGTCTCCATTTGGACATCAAGCCGTTGACGGCTACTCTTTAAGTGCGACCATCCAGCCAATTCCTTATCTACTGAGTGGTCCATCCATTGAATCCATGAATTTCCAATTCAGGGACCAGGATGTTGTACAGCACATTGTCAAATGTTTTGCACAAGTCCAGGTAGGTGATGTCAGTTACTCTTCCTTTGTTCACCAAGACTTGTGACACCATCATAAAAGGCCACAAAATTAGTCAGGCAGGCTTTGCCCTTGGTGAAGCCATGTTGGCTGTCACCAGTCACCATGTTTTCCATGTGCCTTAGCAGAGCCTTCAGGAAGACCTGCTCCATGACCTTGCCAGGCACAGCGGTGAGACTGACTAGCCTGTAGTACCCTCAATCTTCCTTTTCTTGCTTTTTGAAAATGGGGGTAATGTTTCCCCTTTTCCAGTCAGTGGGAACTTCACCAGACTGCCATGACCGCTCAAAATATGATGGAAAGCAGCTTTGCAACTTTAGCCACCAGTTCCCTCAGGAGCCACAGATGGATCCTGTCAGACCCCATGGAATTCTGCACATTCAGATTCTTTAGATGGTCTCAAACCTGCTCTTCTCCTACAGTGCGCATATCTTCATTCTCCCAGACCCTGTTTTTTTCTTCTGTGACTCAGGCGGTGTGGCCTGAGCCCTTGCTGGTGAAGACTGACGCAAAAAAGTCATTGAGCACCTCAGCCTTCACCATATCCCACATGACCAGGTCTCCTGTTTCCTTCTGGAGAGGGCCCACATTTTCCCCAATCTTCCTTTTATCACTCATGTACCTGTAGAAGGTTTTAAAATTTAAAATGCTTGACTTAGAGAACTGATGGACGCTCAGGCTTCCCAAATCTAATTTACATTACATAAAGCAACAGCCATACACAAACTAGAGAGGTTTGTAAGATGATATCCAGTTGGATTCCAGGAGCTGCCCTTGTACCAGCTGTGTTGCTCTGCAACTCACACACCCAAGTAGATGCTGGAAGAAGGCAGATGTTAAACTAAACTACATCCATACTTACAGAAAGAATTTTGGAAGAGAGAACATATGAATAAAACAGTCATGAAAAAGTATCAGTCCTATCAGGAAGCCAGTCAAGACCATCATCAGAGTATTATTTCTGACAAATAGTCCCAGCCTTATGGAATCAGAATTTGTACCAGAATCTGTAATTCTCATTTGTAACACCTTACATATCTCTTTGATTTTAGCCTGAGGTCATGGAAGTATTAGCAATACTTCTAATGGTACTATTTTATGAAAAACAAAGGGAAACGGAAAACCAAAAAAATCCAACCATATTCACAAAACTGGAAAAAGACAGAAGAAATACCAGCACTATGACAATAAGAGGAAGTGTTAGATTTATGCATTGTGAAATAAATCTGGAAAGTAAAAGAAACCACAATTAAGACCGGAGCAAAAAGAGAGAGAAGGCAGGCAGCCCTCTTACAACAGATTTCTCAAATAAGGACTCAAAATAAAGAAAAGGTGAGAAAACCAAAATGCAATCTTAAAAACTTCAATGAAATGACAGTGGTGGAAAAAGAAACCAATTGACTTAATGGTTATCAGTAAGACACAAAACATGATGAACTAAGTGTCACAAAAATGTCAACAAATATTTTATTTATATTTGTCTATTTACACATATTTTCTAAAAGAGAAGATCTGCATTAGGCATTCAGCCTGGTAGGTGAGTTATCCAACGCAAGTCTCAATTTTTAATGAAACTCACTATTTTAGAGAGAATCCCTTCTTTCTTGTTTGCTGTGTCACTACAGGCAAGTTCTGATTCTGGAAGAAATTCTATTGGTGAGAAGGACCCAGTGGTCTGTACACCTTTTGTCAGCTGCACTCCTTTTTTAATATTTTGGTTGTTGGCTGTAGAAAATACAAACAAAACAATGTTTTCACTTGAAAATTTCTCACTAGCATCTGTAAAAGCTAATTAAAAAAAAAAACATTGAAAACTTCTATTGAAAAAAACCCTCACCTTAATGCTACTTTTAAAGTCATTACAGTGTACAGCATATTTGTTAAAAAAACCCCACATATCTCACTTATCTTACTGCTTTTCACAGAAGGTACACAGAATTAAAATTCACTTATTTGCACCTTTGAAACACATACACTTATCTCTATGGAATGACATTTTTAAGAATCTGAACCTAAAATGGAATAATAGTAAAGTATCTCTAGGAAAATGAGCAGCACACAAAATGTTTGAAATGCTGGCATTAAATATTTAAAACACACCCATGAATTTTTTTGTTTTTTCTGACAAGCAGATTCTACTGATCCAGTGAAAAGAGGAAATACATACACATATTTATGTGGGTAGCATAAGGCTTGAGGCTGCCTTGTCACACCAGAAGAAATCACTGCACTCTGATACTTTTAGAATATTATGTTCTGGGAATATATACTCTTTGAGGGAGAACATAGTGCAGCACACCTGACAGACAGTAAATTTGAATGAGCAAAAAAATAAATAAAAAATATCACCAAAATATTCATAGTAGTGAAGTTACATATTTTCAAAGCCTGTAATTTACTGTCATGTAGACATTATCTATGATCTATCGGAGAATTTACTGAACAATCTTCCCCTCCTTTACCCAGGAACACGTGGTACTAAAGGAGTTAAGAAGGCTGTCTGATGAAGTTCTGGGTGTTGGTTCAGCTACAACTACAGAATAGTCAAGCAAACAAAGTGTCCTTCTTTGTAACCAGTGCTGTACTGAAAGCTGCACAATGAAGTAAACGTTCTTGAACAAGCAGAGGTAGGGTCAGACACAGAATGGCATGAATGATAAAAGGTAGCAGAGTGATTTAAGTGTCACTATTACATTTTCTGCCTTTATTGCTTTATGTAAGTTACCTCTTTTTCTTTGTACAAGATCTACATCCTTTCTTGGTGACAGCTTCAACATACGATTAGCATATATATTTTTTGCTTCAAGCTCTCTTTCTTTTTCCTGTGAGTAAAAAGTGTTTATAACACGAGTTACTGATGTTTCATTTACTAGTCGCTAGCAAAGACTGTAAATTAAATTAAAAATGCATGTTGTAAATAGAAACAGAGTAAGTAATAGTTACAATCAATGTTCTAAGAACAATCACATTCCTAACTTTTCTTATGCTGTAAGAAAGTAGGTAGAACTTTCCTCCCAAAAAGTCACCAGCAAAATATTCTGGGGTGAAAAAAAACAACCCACCAGTGAAAATAAAACTAAATGCCAATGTTTCCATAAGCTTGAATAAGATTCATAACATACATATAGATTGCACAACTGAATTTTCAATATTGTAAAGTGTTAAACTTTGCCATGCCAGCAGTGCTACTTGTCACAGGACATGCCAGTAGCACAGAGTAGAGGCCCAATACATCATAGAGCTTAAGACATATTCTTCTTTCAAGATACTTGTTGAATAAAATACAGAAATGAACAGTGAATTATCAGATATCATCTGATAATAAAAATATCAAGCTATGAAACTCTCCCCTAACAAATCAGGCTTCAAACACTTGAAGCATAAACGTTTTTGAGTTACTAAGGCTACTGCTACTTGCTTGATAGCTAGGAAGGTGGTATACTGTTGCATCCCCATTATCTAAGTATGTTTGAGACCTGGAGTTTCAAGGAAATTCTCCTAGGAACTAAGCTCTTTAGCTCAAGTTGTGTTTTGTTTTTTACTTTCCTAAAGATAAATTGTCTAGGTAGAACATAACAATATTTTCAGCCCTTGAATTTAGAATTTGGGCAATGACAGGGTGGTGGGATGCAAATAAACCTTTCCACAAATTTAAAAACACATGCAGATATCACAAATACATTAAGTTAATCTTTACACAAACCTACTGTAATGCAAGTACATTAGTAACATAAAGTACTGTATACACCCACACATTTATTTTTAAAAATCTAGCCTTCAAAACCTCGTTTCCAGTCAATCTTGTGGTTTAATAGCAATCCTTGGCTATGTACTTGATCTTGCTTTTCTTAACTAGTGCTAACAATAATGATTAACAGAGAGACATTCCTGC